ACTTATGTTTGTGTACATAAATACATGTGACGATAATAATATACTGATGTGTTATTTATGTGTATTTGCAATTCAGTCACCTAATTCTTATCGTATTGCATATTCGGACAAACATCAACAAGCGTATAGATACCACATTCATGCCAACATTATACAAAAGTTTTATAATACATCACAACAGTACGATATTACTCGTATGGCAGACATCGCATCTACATTGAGTCATCACTCGTATGGCAGATGTCAGTCATATTAACATGTTTGATTCTTCCTTTAAAGACTGTTCATTTGAAGTTCCTTTTATACGACCACAAACGGTTGATGGCTAATGGCTCCGGATGATATAAACTATTGGAAGAAGCATATGTTTCAGTTTTATCAGCTTTTCACAATATGCACTTCGCTACGAGTTTTGAATTTGACTGACTTCGGAAACAGTCGAAAATTCCTGTTTGACTTAATTGATCCGATCTCACATCATCGACCATAATGAAACCTATCATAACGTCATATCTAGATAATTTGAATTTATAGTTCGGCTTTTATTGCTTGTAGTTTATTTATTCAATGCGTATGTATATTTGTCTTCTCACATAAGTTATGAATCTATTGAAAAAAAGTGTTGAATAATAATCCAGCATATTTGTTCAATTGAGTCATACTGAATTCCTTATCTCAAAAAACTTGCCTGCATTAATGTATTCACTTTAGTAGAATGTTCATATGCTATGCACAATTTTTGAATCGCATTTTGTACACTTGAAAAGAGTAATTGAAAAGTTTTAAGGGACCTTCTTTCATTTTTGTGTTTGTTTTGAAATCTTTTTTCTTTGAGATTCGCTGCCGTCTTTGAAACATCCGTCTTACTGAAGCACAATTGCGAGATATCCTTCTTGTTTTTTCCGGCATTTAAAAAAAATGCAAATCGTTCTAAAAACCGTTTCGCAGTATTTATTTATAGCCTTGAAAAACATTGGCTCCAAACTCACTCATATATCATAATCCGAGTCTTTGTGATCATAAGTTAATCAGATCCTTGCAAAGTGCTAACTTCATTATTCAGAGCCTACAATTACTCGGTTCAGTTGTTCATTCACCTATCTGCAGCAGTTACTTAGAATCAAATGGTGCAAGGTAATGCAATCTAATTGAGGAAACACAGTTTACTTCCTTCGGAAGCCCATCGAAATCCGAAGGAACCTCATCAACATACGCTAAACACTGAGGAACGGAAAATTGCTAAACGAAATTTGACCGTTAAAAGAGTAAACATTGGGCGTTGAGAATGAGTTCTCGTATAGTTGCAATATTTCGTACTCCCCGCTAAAAGTTCCAAAAAATTGAATCAAAGAATAAGTTCTCAGTTAATTTCGGCTCAACGAAAGCAAATAGTAAACTGGAAGGTGAATTCTCAAAAATTCACCATTTTCGGTGAACGCCGCAAAAGATAAATGAGTGGTAGATCTAAAATAAGAAAAGAAAAAATGTGGTTTATGATTGATTCGAAATGATGCTGGACGAAGCTTTATATGTATAGCGTGTGAGGGGAAAGCTGAATGTATAACAATCGATATTGTATTGTTTGTTAGTTGTTTGGTTAGTTTTCACTCATTCGATATGGGTGGTTGTTTGTACGTAGTGGTGGATTTGAGATGAGATGTGAAGGGAATAGGGATAAGAGGACAAGGATAGGGATAGATTTTACCCATTTAGTTGATTTGATTGTGTTGATGATTATGACGATGACGGTGGTTGTGCTGTTGTGGTGGTGGTAGAGTTGATGGCATCTATTCATTTGACGTAATGTTCGAGTAAGTTACTGGAATACGCACTTAGTGGTTAAGCAATCGCTTGCATCTCAGTTCTGAAGCAATAATAGCAGTATTCCGTTCCGATTTCATTTTTCGATTTAGTGTTTCACTTCATTCATGTATGTCATTTCTTCTATCATCTAATCTATTCTTTTATTTCATTTTAATCTGTTCCATTTCATTCTTCTCTCGTCTCTCTTCTTCATCATTATATTAACAACATTTTTATGCACACATACAAAATGCAATATGCTTTAAGGGTCTGTCGTCTGCTGCTATTTGTGTATGTGGTTCGGTGATGGTTTGAGGCTATATGCTAACTCACTCATTATCTCATTTCTTTATTTGCTTGCATCGCTCATGTAAAGCCATGTAGCCATACACATGTTCATCTGTACTGCACTTTCCATTTCTTCTTCTATTCTATTCATTTAATCATCCACGAATATTCATCCAACTCGCATCAGTTCAACTAATTTTTAAAATTTTTTTCCGTTTTATTGATTGGATGGACGTAGTATTCATTGTGTTAATTGTTCTCAAATTACATTCCTTAAAAGATTGGTTGAAACGCTATAATATTGATGCGTTCCATCCATATGCTGGATGTATGATAATATTTGCTGAAATGCATATATCATTTCATCCTCATTCATTCATATTTTGTAGATCTTTTTATGAAATCGTTAGTATTGTTTCATTCACGTTATTGTTAGCTGCCGTCTTTTTGAGGTTCCGTACGTCTTTGTTGCAGACATTCATATGATAAATATGTGCAGATGCGATTCTCAGCGGTCATTGAAATTTGTGACAGTAATTGATTTCGTCATGAAATGCAGCGATTGACACATCTAAATTATTCGATTACTTCTTCACTTGTAGTTACCTTGAGCATTCTTATATGCAAGGCGATGGTTCTCAAGCCCTTATGCTCCAGACCTTCTTCGAGAGACCTCCATTCTTCCCAACTGCTTAACTCTCTCAGATAATCATTCCTTCTGAACAATAAATCAAAACAAAATCAAAAAATGATTCAATAATCAAGAAGTTTGCCATCAAGAATTTGTTGTTGTCATCAAAGGAATCATTTTACTGTGATCAGACAAGAACTTTGCATAAAAAGCAAACAACTGTTAAAGAAATACGGGAAAAAATCAATCTGTAACTTCCTCAATTCTTCCCTAACTTCCTCAAACTGATTTAGGCGGGATTCCCCTCCTCCTCTCGAACATTCTTATGAGAATCACTGCTATGAACCATCTTATTTATGATTGTCAATCAGATGTTGTACATAAGTGGTTTCAACGGCACATCAGTCCGCTTTTGGAAGTTTTTTGTTTGGAATGTCAAAAAAACTTATGATGATTAGATGCAAGAAGAAAAAGTCAGAAATTTGTTGTTTTTTTTAATCGTTCGCTTTAGATTATGTTCAAGCTTTCCCTTTTCATATTTCAATCAGAATGTGAATCAGAATGTAATTCATAGTTAGCTCTATTTTATATAAACATAATACCAAACTAAGATCATGGTTTTTGAATTCAAGAGTTTTTTCAGATGATGTTCCTAAAAAGCAGCAGTAATGCTAGGAATTTGGACCAATTCCCTTGGCAGGTGGATGACTGGTCACAGAAATTAGTGTTTTTGGTAATCCTATTGTTGAAGTATTTAGAAAAAAAGATTGGGTTACAAACCAACTTCAAACTGAGGTTCACTCCTCGCCTTCGACTGAGGTTTACCACGGGTTCAGCCTGAGACTTACCGTGAGGCTGGGGACTACACCTATTCCACCTTGAAGCCTAGGCCGCAAAACTGAGGTTTATACAGAGACTTGTAGCACCGCTTCCCATGTAAAGCCATGTAGACATCTACATGTTTCGTTTGTAGAGCATCGTCATGACAAGATTATCTGTATCTTTACTGATCCGGTTGAATTTTTGAATTGAACGAATGAGCGATCAACTGCTTGTTTTTCACAATCACTGTAACAAAATTACCATGTTGTGTTTTTGCTTTGTTCGTTTTCAGTTTTTAATCGTGATTTCCACCATTTAAATTTATTCAGCAACAGATAATAAGAATATATTCGTTTATACACTCCACTCTTAATGATGCCACAAATTTATCTTGAGGCATCAACCACTTAAATCGATTCAAATTTTAGTTCATTCTGCCTGCCAATTCCTCACCTCCTAACACTTAAAAGAATCTTATCGTCGTCCAGTAGTGCATTCACTTTTTTGTTTCCGATAATGCCGTCGTGGGTAAATGGACCTGCAGGTACGGCTGTATAAAGTGGCAGTTATTTGTTAGAGAAGGAATGAGGTTCTGAAAATCGCAGGTCTCACTTCTGAAAAGATATTATTTTGTCCAAAAGCAACCTGTATGAAATTTCGCTTAAAAGGAATTGATTTGAACGGTCATTTGGTCAAATTGTTTTTCCGCCTGAATAGCCGTAGTTCGCGAAGTTTTAGTTTCGTGATTTTGTTAATTTCATCCGACAAAATTGTGTCTTTTCAGTTGGAGCAACCCATATGAAATTCATCGGAAAAAAATAAATTGAAAGGTTGCGTCATTATTATTAAGCGTTTAGGCGACTCAGGCGAAAAAGCAGTTTGAGGCGGCAACAATTCACGGTGTTTTTTGAAGTGAACTTTCACACAAATTGTTTTTGGACCAAAAAGCATACTTTTGAGCGATGATATCTTGAAAATTTCGAGATTCAAAAAAATCGTCACCTTAGAGAATATGACTGATGTATACATATTGCTTTTTCGTCTTATGCGTTGTTTCGAAAATTCCTGAGAAAAAAGTATTGTAATAGCATCATCAGTCATTCAGTCTTTCTTCGTTTCATTTTATCAGACTCTATTGTGGCATTGCTAAACAAAACGGAGGAATAAATAGACGTTTGCACGCTTGCAAAAGAGGATAAAAATTGAGCGTTCAAAGTGAGTTATTCTTGAGTAGTCAATGGTGAAAGTTGTTGTAAGATTTGCTATCTTTCTACATTCACCACAAACAACGTCACTTCTATGTCCGTTATTTATGCAATCCTATATCCGGCTCTATTGCAGCAATTGCATAAGCAATCCTATTTGTAAATACACACACTTTCCTAACAGTCTTCATTCTTTCATTAACTTCGTGTTCATTCCTAAGCTTTATAAAGAAGAATGATAATTGATTGACATGCGCTTGAAATCGTCAATATCAAGTCAAAAGTGTTTACCAACTCAATGAAGAAATCCGAATTATCACATTAGGATAATCCATTAAGTAATGTTTTAATCACATCTCATCTTGGAATATCGAATGGATTATTATTAAAATATTCGATCATCGCATAATTTTGCATATTTTATTCTATTTTATTTAACCAGCAAATCCAGCTGATTACGAGTTTATGCCTCTCTGTTATCACCAATATCAATAATACCATATTCTTCCTTCCTTGGCATTCTTCTTTCCTCGCAGCTAACGATAACAGCATTGGGAGTCATCTATCTTCATGAAATTCTAATATGGACTCTTAATTCGGCGAGCACAGAGGTTTTGGGCTATTCTTCCATATTGCCCAATGATTTTTAGGGAGAGGGACTCAAAAGGAGCTTGAAAACATATTCTGATTGATCAGTTGAACATTCGTCCAACGATCGGTTAGAGTAGCTGTTTCGAACGATCAACAGTAGTGAATCAGTAATGTTTCGATGTCAATAATAAATAGTTAATGTAACCGAGTAGATCCATAGCAGTCGGCATGTCAAATATTCCACAACCAAGCAATAACGAATGCTCGTCGCCACAAATAATTTGCACAATTAGATACAGCCGAATACCAATCCATTAATCGCAACAATAACGAACATCTTGCCGATCGCGTAGAGCTATCGGCAAACCGAACCAACAATCCAGACAATCAATTTTGCATTTTGTAGTTCTTTTGAAAATAGCATTGTTCATTTGGCAGAACAATCACTCAGTAGCATTGAGTGCATTTATTTTGAAAGTATCCTTGTATTCATTTTATGGAAAATTTTTTCAAAAAATTTTGCTCATGTGAAGAAGAGTGAAATAATGAGTTGTTTTGTTGAGTCATGCAAATTTTCACAATTATAGCGTTGACGCTCCCCCGAATCGAGTAACGGTAATTGCTGAACAATCTGAACTACCGAACACAATTCTACCACCAACACAAATCGAAGAAACTCGAATCGGTACGGTAAGCCCACCACTACCAGCCTTAGTTAGGTAAGTTTATGGTTATTCATTCCTCATCATCCTCGTAAATATTGTTTTCTATTTATCTTTTTTTTGCATTTAGCATCAAAAATTCCCGTAAGTATCATTAGCTAATATTCTTGACATCACTGAAATTCATATGCATTGCAAACGGTACTTTTGCTTTTATTTTTCATTTTCGATGTAAGTTTTCATTATTTATGCATGATTTTATCTGATTTGTTCTTCCAATCAGTTCATTGTTTAGAAGGATGGAAAATGAGAACGAAAATCCGTTTCGTCCTGAAGAAACGCTCTTTCATGAGGTAGACCCTATCGTTGAAGCGTACATGAAAAAACCGTATCCACCTTCTTTATCTGGCTCACCAACTGGAACACCTGTAAAATCACCGAATCAAGCGTATATTAACGGTTGACTCAGATGCATTATTTCATCGTTTCTTTCATGCGATCGTTTCTTGTGAACGTTTATTCCATTAGTTCAACGGTTCTCAACCTTTTTTCCCTTTCGCACACTCTAGAAAATTTTGAAATGTTCTCGCACTCCCCACAATAGCCACTACAGCGAGTGTCAGCAGTGTAGATAAGTGTACACCATTAGAGTACGTTCTAGCCTTTTCAAAAATATACATTAAAGTCCACCCTACTTTACACACATGTGTACTTTGAAATCTCCTTCGCTTACTTTAATGAATAAAAAATAAAAACTTATCTCGCATGCCCTGGAATATCATCTCGTAAATGAGAGGTGCGAGCACCCCCGGCTGAGAAACCCTGAATTAGTTGAATTGCTGCCTCTACATGAATAATGTTTGTTTAGCGGATAATTGCTCTTCTAGATAAGTAGATTGTTATTATGATTTAGGTATATCACCGTCTTCATTAGTAGCCGATAAAGAAATGGAAAAGCCATCATCAGAAACGAGTCCACTGACCACACCTGTTAAGAATGGTGCTGCAAGTGATTGTCAAGATGTACCGAAAGCCAGTCAAGTGGAATGTGTGCGCATTGAAAAGAAGAAAAAGTGCGGTTGTTGTAGTATACAATAGAGGGTTAAAGCTACTGCAACAAGCACGAAATGAAATGCATTATGCTGCCTCTTATCGTGCTGTTTTATTCATTTATCATCAAATTTCATTTCATTTTGCTATCCAACACATCATTTTTAACACAATCATTTTAATCTTTATTCAAAACTTCTGAATGTTTCATGTGATATTATATTACCTATGATATTTGTCACGTCTATTTCCTTAACATCACATCTTATCATAATTTCATCGTGTTAATATTAAATATCATCAACACCATTAACATTCTATTAGTTCGGCATCATTCATTCGATTATGGTAAAGTCGCGGTCACCTTCATCGTTCCTTGTCTACTAATCAGTTCATCTCTGTACAAGTGCTTTATAACATCTAATAGAATGCTTCGATCAATGACCATCTATTGTATCGGTAATATCAATCTTGCATTCGGTTGCATGATAGCTTCATATCCACCAGATCATTCTTATAAAGTGTATCGATGTTATTCAAACTAATATATTAACATTACTGCTTTGTGAATTACCCATCAGTTATTGTACATAACTTGAAATTTCGAATTTTTAGAAATACGAATGTTGAGATGATACCAAAATGCCAGAAGCGATCATAAGATGAAGTGACGTGTAGAAAAAGTTTTCTGATCGTTAGCTACCTTGTGATATTTTCTTTGGAACGATCTGCATTCCCAGTCGAAAATGCTCGCAACTGTTAGGTGTAATCGATACGCTTCATGTGTGTGCGTCTACTGCTTTCCTCGCACAATAATATGAGCTATAGTCTGTCTCATGCTGATCCTAATTACTGAACGACATTTTGCATGATGCGATTACCTTAACGAAAACGTTTTTGTATGATGCTGAAGTAATATTGAGCAAGCTTCTTTCTAACGCATATATACTCATTGTTTTCGCTTGACTTAGTGATATATTTATCTAATGAAGTTTCATTCGTAAACTGCTGTTTCTAATTGGAACAGTTCACCGTTTTTTCTTGATCACGCATTAAATTCTTTATCAATTTATATTTATTTTTTTGCAAAACCAAAATGAAGTGGCTGTTACCAGTATGCTCTATCAAATTGATCACTATGCAAAAAGCGATTCATTGAATAAGTTATAATGATGCAAATTGGTGTCATGAATATTTGTTTATGATGTGGGTTAATTTGTTGGTGAACCACACTGAGCAATCATTCAAATTTACTTTAATTCAATTCAGGAAGTGTCACTTCAAGCGGAAACATTGAATATTGTATGAGATGCGTTAAAAGTTGGAGAGACGTGAGAACTACTCTATATAACTCTATGATAATGTGTTCACGAAATGGATTATAATTTCATGATGTTTATTCGTTATTTTTCCGTTTTTTCTGAAATGGCATTTGTTCGTGATATATACATATATACATATTATATATATATATATATATATTCTATTCGGATATTGCGAGCGGTTGCACCGCATTTCCTTTCGCTCTCCTCTGTAGTCAATTGTTTGTGATTTATGCTTCTATTGAGATTATCGTTAATATTTTTTGTTGTTCAAGTTTTTTTTTTAATTCTTTCGATTCATTGTATGATTGTACCCTTACATAATTGTTATTATTGGATATGAGCAGCATTAATTTGCAGTCGATATTTAGAGTCAGTCTCGCACTCATGATTAATGAGTTGATTATGTGAGCGAATGCAGATTATAATGAATAACTCATCGAATATTCATTTGAAGATTTGTTCAGACCGTTAGTAGAGATTTGCGGATGAATTTGAAAAAAAAAAACGGGAAATAAAGAATTAGTTAAGTGAGATCTGCTTCTGAGCTTGAAGCTTTTATTTTGATTTTCTGAATTTTACGTTTGAACGAGTAGCTAACCATTCATACAGTTTGCACTCATGTGAATTTCACAATTCATTTCTGAAAATCTCTACTTGGTTTAAATGAATCAGTTTGTTTATTTTTCTACTTTTTTTTCACTGTTCTTCGATTTAACTTTTGATTATGTTCAGTTGGCCGAGAATAATTCTCAGTGTAGATAAAATTCTATAAAGCATTGATTGTGTTCGCTGCTCTATCTTATTTTGACATCCAAAAAAGAAACACTGAAGCGTGTGCTCGTGAAGCAAATTGGAAGAATATTTTCGGCTTGAATGTCTCCTCTTTTTGCATGATTCACTGCGCCTTACAAGTATTTGATGCTACCAAAAATGCTCTTGAAATTTTTTTCTATTTGTTTTTTTTCGTTTTTTTGTCATTTAAAGTAAGAAGTCTGTTATATACTAAGAAGTGAACTGCTGTTTTTTGTTTTGTTTTGTTTTCTCTTTTTGATGAAATGTGAATGAAATATGTCAATTGAAGTGTATGCGCTTACCAACAATTGTACGAAGTTTCGTCATGTTTATGGTATTTTTCAATTCGTTAAAATATTTTCATTGACATTTACTTGTAAACGCTGGACCATTTTCTGTTCATTGTTGTGAATAATGCGTTATCATAAATGAGCACGGCTATTGAAATCAACGAAAGTTAAGCTGATTAACGGAACAATATCTCAAATCTTGAGTGATTGACATAAGCTGTTTTTGTTTTGCTTGAAACAAAAAACCACTCTAAGAAAGTTTTTACGGGGGGTTTTTTTATTTGCAGTTCAAAGCGCTGCAGTCATGCCAAAGTTTCCATGGAACGATTTACTAAAAATAGTTCTCCTCATATTCTGTCACCGTTGCAGAAAAAAAAGCAGTTGGAATTTTTAACTTTATTGATTATAATCGATTTGTTGATGTCGATCTGAAAGTCATTGACGAATTTTTGAATACTGACGACGAACATTTTGTTATCTTCAGGAAGTATAACAATAATCCTAAAAAATACAGTTATAGTTCATTCCCGTTTGCATAACGTCACAAATTCAGCTAATCAATTCAGCTTTGCTTTTGCTGTCTATCGTTTATTTATTTTCTTTTTTTTCTAAAATTATGCAAGTGTGTTTGTCTTTATTTTTATCCCACTTCCTGTCTTCCCATAGCAGCAATGATTTCCCGTTCAAAAAACGACGGACTGTATTTGTTGTAAATGACGACTATGAATAATAATCAGCTTAACTTTAAAGCAAAATCTAATTGCTTAAGCCAACTTGTTTGTTGAATACTAGAAGTGACACTGGTATGTTAATTTGGTTGGTAACGTTTTCATTTGTCGTTTCTTCAAGCTGAAATGCCATTTTGTTGTCCACAATTCACAACAATTATTTTGGCATACGATTTTCTCCTTTCGAACTGAACTTTTGATGATCGCAAATTTAGTCACATTCATTCATTCCAACTTTGTGATGGCGCATAACGCTTAGCACGTGTAGCTTCAGCTATGATTTCATCGTAGCACCTCGATGCTTGATTCTAACCCATATAACATCAATAACTTCTAGTATAAGCTTTCTTCTTTCATGATTTGTTTGTTTAATGATTCCTTTACTTGTTTGTAATTCATCCATTCATTCATATGTTTATTCGTTGTCACGGGTTTACCCCAACACATCATCTGTCTTTTATCGCAACAGCCGCAAACTATCGTCAAATCAGCATATTCAAAATAATCTTCATCAGTTATCGATTCGTTTTTATCAATGAATATTTCATATCGAAACGTTTCTTTTTATCCACCATATTTTTTTTCTCCTGTTAGTTTCGTTAATCGCTTTTATTTGTGTGTATATGTGTGTACTGGTCCCTCTTCTTTATAAAAAGCCTCTAACTGCTAATAAACGTGTGTATATTGCAATTGTTTCTTGTTTCACATTTTCGATTTGGTCACATTCAACGAATTTGACTGCTTTTTATTACCTTCATTTCACAGATATCAGATTAAGCTGCTTCACAACGGTCTATACGAACTAATGGTGTGAACTGTTTGAATACGGTAGCAACTATTTGGTCTCAACCGTCCATACAAGAAGAAGAGATGCATTACAATCGTAAACAAATTTGAACAAGTCTTAATGAAAAGAGTAGTGAGATCATTCCGGTGAGATCTCGAGTCGCACCATCAAACATTTAGCATCTTCATACCATTACGCAGCAGTTACTTTCAATATAGTACGTGTGGTACTCATCTCGTTCACGATAGCACCTTTTTAGATGGAACAACATACTCATTGACCTCAACTTTGAGGAATGCCCAAATTAGCGGTTTTTTTGCTTTCCACTAAAATGAAGGCAATTGAAGTGAAACATAAGAGACATAATTGGAATTCGAAAGCTTATTAAGGCATTCTGAAGTCCTTGATGCATTTATTATTCTCTTAGAAAGCATTCGTGTTCGAATAAAGTACTGTAGCACTATATCGGTGAACACTGCTTGAGAGTAGTCGTTAGAAGAAAACAAGTTCAGAAGCAGATTGTTTTGCTGACCCATGTACAGAGTGACATCAGCAGCAAATCAAACATATTTCATTCATTACTCCAACAGAAACCTTTCTCGGAAATATTCATCTAATCATTCAACGAAGTCAATCAGATTTTCGAGAAATAGATGCTTGTTCACTTTATTCTCAACATGTTTACTGCCACTGCTTTTTTTGAATAAAAATATGCAAAAGTTTGCTCCACAATGCGTAGATTTAATATATTCAATGCATCTTTTAAACTAGCTACGTGCACTTTCTGAATTAATCGTTTTGATTCACTATTTTAAATCTATTGAATTCATTTGCTTTTTCATACACATATGTTCATTCATCATGTATTACTGCTTACTAAGAACGTATTCATGTGAATAGTTCCACTTCCAATCGTCAACAAAATGATGACGGATCCGATGATTAAATAATCGCAAAATTTTCCACTCATCGAATGCAGAATAGAAACTTGACGAAAACTATTCGAAATATCGTTGCTCTTGCGATCAATGCCATTCCAGTGTAAGATTTCTTATCAATCATTTATTTACATTAAATGATTATGCAATCAGGATTTTATTGATGCAAATTCATTGATAAATAAAAG